AGGTACGGTTTTACCCGACAATCGAAGAAATGTACCTGTAAATCAATTCAAAGACATCGACAATTAGAGGAAGTAAAGGTTTTGAGACAACCTACACGTTTAGAGCACCACTTTTTAGCCACTTGATCCCATCTTGAGCTATGAGTGAGGATAGGTTTTATAATGGGCCCTATGTGTATGACGAAATTGTAATTAATCACCATTTCCTTTGCCGAAGTCAACGAGTTTCGGGCTTGTCTCTTCTGGGCCAAATGTGCCACCAGCTCCTTGATCTGCTCCACTGTTGGAGATTTCTAAACAGTGTTTTAGCAATTTAAGATCATGATCACAGTGTCAGCTATTATTGGATATACCACAGACATTAACACTAACGACTGGCTGTTATACAATAATTTATTGTAATAGAGAATTCATTTGTTATGCTTTAAAGTTTCGCATTCTTTTGGCGACTTTCCGAGATCGCTCTCGCATCATTTTGCGAGTGACCTTCACAGGGATGATTGGCGGTGGAAGTGCTGAACTGTTGCTGTCATCGAATGGAAGCCCCATTGTTCTTCGCATCAATCTGCTCACAAACTGTTTCTTCAACTTTGCGAATCCACCCGGTTTTGAGACCAGCGTAAGGTCCATGCCGCGTGTCAAACCCTCCAGATCTGGAATTTCTCGCAGCATCTTGAGTTCATCCTTAGCGCTAGTAGGTAGATATTTCGTGAGCTCCGTAAGTTTCGATGCAACCTCAGATTCCATCTGTGTGGGTTTTTTGAAGACTAGTAGCTTAGGTGGCGTTGATGTCGTAATTATTGCTGTTACTTCTGGTGAACCGGTCTTCCTGAACAGTCTGCTGTGCAACTTATGAATATCTTCATGACTCTCATGCTCGCGCACATTTGTGTTTAGTGCTGCAATTTTTCTTTTTACCACTGCATTCTTGACCAAAGAAGGTGGGTAAAGGGTAGGTATTAGTTCTGGTTTCACAGTTGTAGCCTGCATTCCATATATATTTCTAAGCAATGTAGGCGTAGGGGTCACTGTTAGTGGAGTGAACAACATTGGTCGAATCGTAGTAATAACTTCATTTGCTCCTAGAATACCAAATTTCTTCGCAAGATCTATCAGCGAGGGTTCATTTGTAAACGAAGGCTCAGAATAATTCGAGTCGGTATTGTAATAAT